ATTATCAGGTAGTTTTCGAGCTAGAACAGCTAACACAAAGCAAAAAACAGCCAGCAGGCCAATGTATCCGAGCACAGCCCAGAAACCAACAGCAGAGCCTAATGCACATTCCAGGATGATTTTATCCTTGTATGTGTTCAAATCTTTCATTGGAAATGGAGGACTGAGAACCAACCAAACGGTACAAATTAAAACTTGAATAAATGTGAAAAACACTACAGTCATTCTTTGCTGTGGAGGCCCAAACCATTTCATGACATTACAACCCGGAAGTGTAGCTTTGAAGGCCATTAAAACCACTACAGTTTTTCCAAGAACACAGGAGATACAGAGAACAAAGGTGATACCAAAAGCTGTGTGTCGCAGCATGCAGGACCACTCAGAGGGAGCTCCAATGAAAGTTAATGAACATAAAAAACACAGAGTCAGAGAGAAGAGCAGCAGGAAACTCAGCTCAGAGTTGTTGGCTCTGACAATTGGAGTTGTTCTGTTATGAAAGAAAATAACTGCTGTTATGATGGCCAGACAAGCCCCCAAAACAGAAAATGCAGCCAGGATGATTGACAGGACTTCATCAAAAGAAAGAAACTCGACAGGTTTAAGGAAACATGTATCTCTTACAGCATTAGGCCAAAACTCTATAGGACATTCAAAGCAGTCAAAAGAGTCTAAAAACAAACAAACAAAAATAAAGGGGTGTTAGAAGTAAAGCATTTATAAATGCAAATTTGCATAAAAATATTGGATGGTACCTGTTGTATTACTGATCTCTCCTTCAGGACATGGTATACAATCATAGCAGCAGATGGGTTTTCCTTTCTGTAACACTTTATGAGTTCCTGGAGGACAACTCTCAGAACACACTGACACTGGTATCTGTCACAAATATATAGAAGAACAATTAAAATGAAAAATATAGTTATTGGATTGTAAGGTAACTGCTATAAATTAGATCAATAAAGTATTTGTTTGCTTGTTTCTCTCTATTCATTACTTGTGTGCCACCCTCCACCCAGCTTATGTTCTTGTTGACATGAAACTCCTGTCCTTTTGGCAGTGATGCATCATAGTATCCAACTGTTACCAGCTCAGTAACTCCACTCTCACTCTTCTTCCAGTTGACCAGCTCATAAAAAGCCACTGGATCTCCATTAACATCAAATGACACAGGATAACCATTTTGGTAAAAGTTGACTTTCTTCAGCTCAGTAAAAACCTGTGAAAATTATGAACGATAAAAAAAAAAAAAAATAATAATAAATTTAGTAGAATCTAAGGCTTTTCAGTAAACTAGATCACTTTTTTCCCTAAATTTTGCTTACCTGTTCCAGAATCAAACCTTTATGTTTTTTATTTGTGTTATTATTTTCTTGCAGCTCTGCATTGTGGATGGCATGAGCTATTGCATAAACTGCCTTGTACACCATGTTAGTAATTCTTAACTGAGATGTTTCAGTGTACGGACTTTTGAGTATTTTTATGTCCTCAGTTCCATCACAAACGTTCTTGTCTACATGAACACCTAAAAACACACAAAAGAGGATGACAACTCAACATGTTTTTAGTGTTCCTTTGTATTTTCCCATTCATATAACATATGCTAATATAAATTAACCAAATGCTTTTCCAAAGATAAATCATACTATATGCATAGATGGAAATACAAGTTTACAGTCTAAATCACCAGCAACAACACAGCTTATACAGGTATTCTAGTATTTCAAACTCATCTGGATATTGAGAGACAGGGATTATAAACTACTGAACAAACAGTTGGCAAATTTTGGTTGAAAAAAAAAGTTATCAAATTCAAAGCAAGACCCAAATTTCTTGACACTTCTTAATCGGTCTTTTTTTTTTTGTAGTGTTGCACCTTATTCCCGATTTTTAGTCGAAGCATACAAATAGAAATGTGCATCATCTTAAAGTGTCTGTTTTTATAACAGGCCTCATTTATTAAACATTAATACACACACACACACACACACACACACACATATATATATATATATATATATATATATATAAACCTGATATGAGGATTAGCTATGAATTGCCCAATTAAGTAACAATTAAACTCACTTCGTGTCATTGTGCAGTTAAATGCATCCTCCCAGAACTCTGTGAGCACTGGGGAGGCAGCAACTTCAGTGGGAGAGAGATCCAACAAAAAATCTCTGAGGCCTGGAATGATAGACTGTTGAATGCCAACTCCGATGGCCCCTGCACAAAAACTGAATCTCAGCAAATGCGGGTCAGTAATCCAGGCTTCACTCCCTATCCACTGACGAGGTGGTGGGGGCTCCAGAGCCAGCTCCTCTAACAACATTGTCATGTCTCCTGGAGCCGCAAAAGCCACAACAACCATTGCTGTTGACCTAAAGGAATTATAATTTCAATATAACACAACACAATTTTGCAATTTGAATCTTGTTTTACTTTACAACAAGAGACTTTTGACAAAAAAACAACAACTTTTTTTTCATTGAGTCAACAAGATAAAATTCTAATTTGCAGTGCTGAGGGTCCACAACATTTAAAGGCACACAACCAAACCCAGAAATGTACAAACCTACGAATAACATCAGCTACTCTCTGGATCTTGCTGCGTGAGTTGGTTCGATAAAAGGATTCAGAGTACTCCACACAGATTCCCTCTTTGTGTGCTGCATCCAAAAAAGATGCCATGCCATAGTTTCCATAATCTGAGTCCGAGCGAACAGCACCTATCCAAGTCCAGCCAAAGTGTTTCACCAGTTTGGCCAGAGCATCAGCTTGGAACTGATCACTGGGTATTGTTCTGAAAAATGTTGGGTACTGCTGCTTATTTGACAGGCAGGCACATGTGGCATAATGGCTTACCTAAAAAAAGAAAACAGCAGTTAATCTCATGTAGTAGAACACATTTATTAGAGCAGGGCAAATGTTTTTATTTGCAATAAAGTCAGAGTATTTACTTGAGGGATGTTCAAGGACCCGATGATGCGTGACACGCTGATAGATGGTGTGGATCCAGATTCTCCAACAACAGCCATCACCCTACCAGACTGTGAACAATTGCTGTCTTTGAAAATCACAGGATCCTGACCATTTGATAGTTGAAATGCTACATGTGAAGCCACAGGTACTGAAGCACACGAGTCAAAGATCTGATATCCAAGCTTAACGTCAGGTAGCAGCTCAGTGCTGTTGTTTACCTCCTCGATGGCAAAGATCATTGCACGAGAAAATCGTAATTCCCGGGCATCAATACTGCACAGAAAAAATAATGTGGATAGTTAAGTTCACAAAAAACTTTTTGATTATCATTTCAGTAAATAAAAGGAATAACTGCCATCGGGACAAATACATTATCCTGTATACATACAATGTCACATACATACATTAAATACATATGTGTAGTTGTAGATTTAAACAGCTGTTAACACTAACGTAAAGACTACATTTGTAGATTTCTTTTCAGTTTAAAACAGGTGGACTTTTTTTAAAGATTATAACCACAAAACAGAAATGCCACTGAAACACAATAAAAGATGAGAAAAAACACCAATACTAAGTAATATAATTTTTAGAATACTATTAAAAAAAAAAATGCAGACAAAAATAAATAACAAAAAAACCTAAACATTTCCAACACAGTTTAACATCAGCGTCAGTAGTTGTCCCTCTTACAAACCTCCCTGTGCATCTTGGAGGTGCAGGAGCGATGGTGTAGTTATAAATCATTGTGTGCATGTTGTTGTGAATGGAAAAACCACCCCCAATAATGTAGTCTCCATCCATTGAAAAATCTGGTAGACGAGCAGAACCCTGCAAGATACATTTCATATTTGATACCTCACTACCAACTCCATCAGCATTTCTATTCTCTGTAAGTACAGTCGGGTTTTTCAGACTGTTCATCGATCCACCCAAAGCAACAAACGAGTTCCCCTCAAACAGACTCAGAGCCAGTTTCAAACTAATGAAGAAAGCTGGAACCTCCATTTCTCAAATTATTGTATGCACATGTGTTTTAGCTCTTCTATATATTTCGTCAGTAAAGTGTAAGAGGAGGGGTTCAAAATGTGTGATGTCATCACCCAATGGTGTCTGATCAAGTCTTTGAACTATTCAACCTTAATGTCTGCCTGCATACATTATGCATTGCTGTCTCTTTTTTTTATTGTAAATGAAACACCAGGAATCTCCCTTATTATGTCATCTTCTTAAACGTGTTTACTCGAGATTTCATTTATGATTTAAAGCGTATTCACACTTAGTCACTTATATGATACTTAAACTGAAATATTTAGTCTTCCAGCGCAATATGCTATAAACAACAATCTCCAAAAAACAAAACTAAAAAGTCAAATGTGAATTAATAAATGTCTAATTTCCCTATTATTGTTAGGCTACTATGTAAACTGGCTTCACTGTAAATTATTTAAAAATAATTAAGTGAGTTTATTTTGTTTAATATGTTTTCTGAATGGGCAGCACAGTGGCACAACTGGTTGAGCTGCTGCCTCTCAGTGTTCAGGTCCCTGGTTCAAATCCCGGTCTGGGGGCCTTTCTGGGTGGAGTTTGCATGTTCTCTCCGTGCATGCGTGGGTTTTCTCCAGGTACTCTGGTTTCCTCCCACAGACCAAAAACATGCATGTTAGGCTGATTGGTAACTCTAAATTGTCCCTAGGTGTGAGTGAGAGAGTGAATGGTTGTTTGTCTCTATGTGTCCCTGTGATGGACTTGCGACCTGTCCAGGGTGTCCCCCGCCCCTCGCACAGTGATTGCTGGACATGGGCACCGGCAATCCCCGTGACCCAAAATGGAAGAAGCGGGTAAAATATAATGGATGGATGTTTTCTGAATACAGCATTGCTTCACAACAAGGCACTCCAAGGTTCTACAGATTTTATGCTGATTTGACCACTTTGCGTCTTTTGGTTTTCATGCCTTTGGAAGAGCATATCCAGTTAAGTTCTTGTTACAGACAGACATAAAAAAAAAAATAATAATAAAATTAACCAAATTCCACAACTTTCTGCAGTCAGACTGACAGTCTGCTAATATTAAGATTTGATATCTATCTGTTATGGGTGACATGGCAGCACAATAGTTATAGTTACCACCTCTCAACAAGGAGGTTGCAAGATTGCCTCCTGGGGCCTTTAGTAGTGGATTTTGCATGTTATTCCTGTGCTTGTGCAATTTTTAGGTGGGGTATTTTTTTGTTTGTTTTCTCCCATAGAGCCATTAAGATGTTCATTAAGAAATCTAAGTTGTCAGTAGGAGTAGGTGAGAGTGTGAGTAGTTGTTTGTCTTTATATGGCGTTGATGGACTTGGGACATGTCCAGTGTGTACTCTACCTCTCACACAGTTACTGTTGGATTTGAGCACCAGCAACTCACAGGACCTGGAAAGATAGAAGTGGGTAAAGAAAATGGACAGATAGATGGATGGATTACCATGTTTAAATTAGAAGCAGGTAATGCAAAAAGATACATGCTACACAAGAGTGGTCCAAAGTTGTATGATCAGCTGTTTTAATAGTGAGTTTTAAACTGTAATGTGCATTTGTAAAGATCATTTTTTAACATTCTGTTATAAGTAGCAAATGTTTGAACTCCTCCGTGAATCACTACCTTGATGTCATGGATGTGTTTGTGTGCCTGAATGATCCTAGTAGTTATGCTGTTGGGAACAAATGCCCCTGTTATGGTCTCCCAAGACCAGACAAGACAGCAAACAATTTACAATACTCGAATGGACTGAAGACCGCAAGAAGTTCAGTGTCTCTGTTTCTGTTCAGTGTTACCTGGGCCCCACCCAGAAGGGGTCATTGGTGAGCAACTGGTGACTGGGCCACTACCCATGGGGCTGGGTTGGGCTCTGCTTGAATTATTTGCATGAGTTCACCTTCCAGTTGGCTCACCACCTGCAGGAAGGGCTTTATATGTTGGGTGCATGTGAAAACCTTCTATTTTCGTTTGACTCCAGCAAAATGTTGGACGTCACTCAGAAACTCAGCCTCATGATTTTTATTTCTCTCAGCACATCACTGTTACAGAAATACAAAAGTGTGGTTGGTGGTGGTTTGGTATGTAGCTCCAGCCCCTACTCTGGAACCGTTCGGCAGTAAATCAGCACTCTAATAACAGCTTCCAACTTTTAACAATGCGACTATAGTTTTAACAATAAAAACTTTTCCCATAAAAGTGAAACCAAAAAAAAAAAATTGTGCATTAAATCTCATCTTTACAAACTAAAAATGACAAATAGATCAAACATATAACACCCACATAGTAATACAAAAAATAAACATTTTTTTCAAGAAAATGTAACCACACTTTTTTACGGAAAAAAACAAAAAACAAAAGTGTGGTTGTTTGGTATATAGCTCCTGCACACAGCAAAATAGGGACACATTTAAAATAAGGTGAACAGATTTCTGACATTAAATCAGGGCACATTTCCAGCTCGGAGACAAAAAAAATTATAAAATAGTATCAAGACGAAATGAAGAAATGGGGGCAGTTATGGTTTTATTTATTTGTACATATTTATTCATGTTTAAACAATAAAAATCAAATGTAGAAGCAGGAATGTATCCCTCCACACACATTACCTAAGAATAATAAAACAAATAAAATAATATTAGTAGCAATGGTGTCAGAATCATCAAAGCAAAAACATACCGGATCGGTCGAGGCCCGAGGTAACAACGACCATCATCAGTGCTGTTGACAAACGGGGTGCCGGTGGAAATTGTGCTACTGCTAGTCGAAGACCACGAGGAGGGAAACGTGCCAGAAGACAGAGGGAGGAGAGGAAAGTCAAGAATGTAGGATTGAGGGTTGCAACTCTAAATGAGGACAATGACAGACAAAGATAGAGAGCTGGCTGAGAAGGAAGATAGATGTTTTATGTGTCCAAGAGACCAAGTGGAAGAGCTGCAAGGTTTGCAGCATTGGAGCTGGGTTTAAACTGTTTTACCATAGTGTGGATAGAAAGAGAAATATAGTAGGGCTGGTCCTGAAGGAGCAGTTGGTGAAGAATGTAGTAGAGGTGAAAATAGTGTCAGATAGGGTGACATGCCTGAAGGTAGAAGTAGAAGGTCTGATGCTAAATTTTGTCAGTGGTTATGCTCCACAAGTTGGATGTGATGTGGAGGAGAAAGATACATTTTGGAAAGATCTGGAAGAAGTGGTAGAGAGTGTTCCCAGGGAGGAGAGAGTGGTGATCAGAGCAGACCTGAATGGACATGTTGGTGAAGGAAACAAAGGTGATGAAGAAGTGATGGGTAGGTTTGGTGTCAAGAAAATAAAGCAGGAAGGATAGATGGTGGTGGATTTTGCCAAGAGAATGGAAATGGCTGTACTCGTCACCTATTTCCAAAAGAGGGGGAGGGGGGGGGGCATAGAGTAACCTACAATATGAGTTGAGGAAGGAGGATGCAGGGCAACTACATTCTGTGTAGAAGAGGAAACCTGAGGGAGATAGGAAACTGTAAGGTTGTGGCAGGGGAGAGTGTGACCATACAGTATCAGATGGTTGTGTGTAGAATGACTGTAGTTGTGAAGATGATAAAAAGGGTAAAATCAGAGAAGAAGACCAAATGGTTTAAGGTGAAGAAGGGAGAATGCTGTGAGAAATTCAGAGAGGAGCTGTTAAAAGAGCTTCCAAATGACTGGGCTACTACAGCAACAGTAATTAGAGAGATATGTAGGAAGGTACTTGGTGTGTCATCTGGACAGAGAATGGATGATAAGGAAACCTGATGGTGGAATAGTGAAATGCCGGATGCTATTCGGAGAAAGAGGTTAGCCAAGAAGAAATATGACAGTGAGAGGACTGAAGAGAGGAGACAGGAATATAAGGCGATGGGACGTAGAGCAAATGGGGAGGTGGCAAAGGCAAAGCAGAAGGTGTATGATGAACTGTATGGGAGACTGGACACTAAAGAAGGCGAGAAGGACTTGTACCAATTGACAAGACAGAGGGATAAGGGTGGAAAGGATGTGCAGCAGGTTAGGTTCGTTAAAGATAGAAATGATAATTTTCTGACAAGTGAAGAGAGTGTAATGGGTAGATGGAAGGAGTATTTTGAAGAGCTCATGAATGAAAAAAAAGAAAGAGAAAGAAGGCCCATACCCTAAACCCTGAGGAATGGAAAAAAAAAAAAAACTGTGTGTTGGTGTCCATTTTTAAGAACAAGGGTGATGCACAGAGTTGTATCAACTACAGGGGAATTAAGTTAATGGGTCACACAATGAAAATCTGGGAGAGAGTTGTGGAAGCTAGACTTAGACGAGAGGTGAATATTTGTGAGGAGCAGTATAGTTTCATGCCAAGAAAAAGCATCACAGATGCCATCTTTGCTTTGAGAATGCTGATGGAGAAGTACAGAGAGGGTCAGAAAGAACTCCATTGTGTCTTTGTGGATTTAGAAAAAGCATATGACATGGTGCCGAGAGAGGAAGTGTGGTATTGCATGAGGAAATCTGGAGTGGCAGAGAAGTATGTTAGACTGGTACAGGACTTGTTTGAGGACAGCAGGACAGCGGTGAGATGTGCTGTAGGAGTGACAGACAGCTTCAAGGTGGAGGTGGGGTTGCTTCAAGAATTGGCTCTGAGTCCTTTCTTGTTTGCTCTGGTGATGGACCGACTAATAGATGAGGTCAGGCAGGAATCCCCATGGACTATGATGTTTGCAGACAACAGTGTGATCTGTGATGAGAACAGGGAACAGGCTGAAGAGAACTTGAACAGGTGGAGGTATGCACTTGAAAGAAGAGGAATGAAAGTCAGCTGTAGTAAGACAGAGTACATGTGTGTGTGAATGAGAGGGAGGATGGTGGAACAGTGAGGCTACAAGGAGTGAAGGTCACAAAGGTGCAGGACTTCAAGTACTTGGATTCCAATGTCCAGGAAAAGGGGAAGAGTGGTAACGAGGTGCAGAAGAGAGTCCAGGCAAGACGGAGTGGGTGGAGAAAAGTTTCAGGAGTGATTTGAAACAAAAGGGTGTCAGCAAAAGTCAAAAGAAAAGTTTACAAGACCAGCTATGTTGTATAGTCTGGAGACAGCATCTTGAGAAAAAGAAAAAAAAAAAACACTGGTTAAAGAAAATATATTTTTACTTTATTGTGTGTAGCCAAAAAATACTAATCAAAAATGCACAATCAACATTTCTACTCACAGTTAAACAAAAAAAAAAAAAAAGTTTGACAAATGCACTACATATGAATATTCATTGCTTTATTACTGTTGATTTCACATCATTGTTATGATCTCCCCTTGCTTCTAATCTTCTGATATTTTGAAATTAATGCTTGTTCAATAAATATTTCTTGGAGTTCTTATGTGGCTGGAACAATATGATGAAACACTTTGGAGCAAATATACACAGTATCAGTCCAAAAC